ACAGCATCAGGGTAGCATCCCCCAGCTCTACCAAGGTTCCTGAAAGAAGCTATGAAATTATTTTTAATGGCCCTATACCAGGACTTCATGGGATACTGCAGAATTTAGTTAAGGATCTCTCTTCTTACACCCTCTCCTTCCCATGCAAATCTTTCCAGAATTGTCCTGCTACAAAAATTACTCCTTTTTTCCCCCTCCAGATTAAACCTCCAGCTACCTCCAAAGCTGCTGTTTACTGATTTCACATTAAGGTGTGAGTTACTGGTAGGATTAAGTCTGGAGGGGTGATGAAGAGCTATTTACATTTTACAAGTGAGGTTACTTTTCCTCAAAATTTTGCTAATTGATGTAAACAGTGAGTATGATCCTTCCTTATATAGGTTACACTGTGCCCCAACCACCTCTGGAGGCCACCAAGGTTTCCTGACCCCCTACATTCCAGAAATCAAGGGTCAGCAATTGGGTGCCTCACTTGTGAAAAGCTGTTGACCTCTGGAAGGGAGCTTGTAAGGAAGCAAGTGTTAATTTTCAAAATGTGACTGGTCTTGATAGTGGCAACCTCACCCCATCACGATGTCTCTTGGAATGTTTACTAGTCAAGGGGCATAGAAGTAATCTGTCATCACTAGTCAGTGGTGCAAGCCACTCATTCTTGTAACCTTGCCTTTCTCCCCTCGACCCAAAACAAAACATACCACCCCATCCCTTCCCTCTCACATTCAAATTTTCATGTGTTCAACATTTGTCAGGGCCTTTACCTTCAATGACATGGTCAACACACCAAAAAATTATATTTAACACATGAAAAATGAACAGCAGGCCCATTTCTTTCTGCCATGTAATTGAGAACTACAGAACTTGTGTTTGGGGTATGCATGTGTATACTTATTCTTGGAATAATATTTTTAGACACTCAAATGATTACCCTCCAAAATCATAAAAGGGTTTAATAACACACTTTAATATAATTTTAAGGTACTTTTTAATAAAATACAGATATATAATTATCAATGTATGTCATTTAATTCAACAATAAAAGGCTAGTCTCTGAAGTGACATGGTAATTAATATTTACAGTAAAAACTAAAAGAAACAGCATTTGTACAATATTGCTAAAATTTTACCAGAAAAAAAGATTAATAAAAAATTATACTCATATTGTGGTATCATCTGAAATTATCAACAACAAAAAGGAAAATGCTCTTATTAATACAAATGGGTATAGAGCATGATTTTCCATGTTTTCTGAAGATGGAAAACTCTCTGTTCTTGAATTATGTATCAAGCACTATGGCTGAGATGGACTCATTCTTAATGCCTTTTCCCAAATCTTCGTCAAGCTATAAATGCCACACACAAAAATCTTATGTAGATCTACCTATTTCAAATATTTCATGCCCCTTCAAGCTAATTTTAAATTAAAAAATGACTAATAATTTGATGAACTGCTAAGGAATCCATAAGGAAATGTGTTAATATGTATAAACAGAGTCACATCTTGTGTAAATTCAATAGTATATCCCCCTAAATATCTAACAAACTGTGCTGTTTCAAAGTGAAACAGCAAATCAGGAGCTGTAACAGATTCAGGGATGAGTTAAAGCAATTCTGTGTAGCAATGAGAGGAAATCATGTTCTTTTGCTTACGATACATGAAACGTAATGGGTCAATGCACAGACATTATATTTTGCTTTCTCCTCAGAAGGGGAATGTGCCTCATCAAGTATTCTTAGCATTTTTATTAGCCTTTTTAATTTATCTTATAATGTGCTATCAAAGTTACTTGTCTTTAACTCTTCAACCATGCATATATTATTTTAGGAATTTAAAAATGTAATGCTGAATTTAATTTATCCAGTTCTGAGGTTACAAATTCTATTGAGGTTAATGGTTTTATAGTTCCTTTATCATAATTAGTATCTTCCTCCCTAGTCCTCCAAGAGGGCCTTTATAGTAATGGGCCTTGGCCTTTGCACCACAGCTTGCAAAAGACAGATTGCTGGAGATAACCCCCCGAAATTCCTCACCGAGTTATTTAACACCATACAGGCCTAGGAACTATCTGTTTTGGGAAAGATGCAGGCAGATGGACAAAGGAGTGGAAAAGGATTCAAAGTGTAGGAATTACAAGATATAAATAACTAGCATAAATGCATTTTTCTTTACTTATACACCATGGGTTAGGAAGTTCAAAGCAAAATGGAAAAAAATATTCTAAGTTTAAAAACAAACTATACAAAAACATAAGGTATAGTTAACAATATTATTACTCTTGATTTAAAAGACAGACATTTCTCATTGGAATCAATAAATTTGAGGTGGATTTATTTTCTTTTTGCCATTCCACTCATATCACATATTCCTCCCCTGGTGAAAACTGGAATTTAGAAATGTTTGTAGAACATTTTTTAATGGTCTATTTGGTAAGTAAAATAAGCAAAAAATGCAAAATACTAGAAATTTGTTCTCTGCAGATGAATAGGAACCTCTTATGTGCCCAATGGAAAGTATAAAACAAAAAAATCACAAGCCTCTCCTTTACTTTACTGAAGAAAATAATAATTGTTATGGGTTGTGATTTTTTATAGAACCAAGGTCATACAGTATCTGTGGTAAGTAAGAATGAGTAGGAATGAAAAAGCTGATCCTTCATGATTATAAATACCTCAGAACTAAACTAAGATTTCAACTGGCTTTGTATTTTAGATTCTCACACTGTGTCCAAAAATAACAGAAATCATAAGACCCTACATTCTGGTTATTGCTGGTTATCAACACTGAAGTATGAAACCATTTAGAAAATTTTTCTGATAAATTAAGTTATAAGTGTTCATCTGGATAGTATTATTGCCAAGTTTTAAGTTTACCATCTTGTTTTTAAAAGAGTCTGAGAACTTAAACATACTACATTCATGCCAGTACTCTGTGCAACTGGATGAAGCAGGGGGAACAATAGGAGCTGTGATACTTCATATGCTATGTATATACAGCATACATATATACCATAGATAATTACAATCTCACCATGAGAAAGTAAAAAAACCCAGTGAGCCTTCATTTTGTATTATATGTACATTTCATAAGCTACAGAGCGTTTCTTTCTACATTGCTTTTAAAAAAGAAAAAGAAAGAAAATACCTTAGACAGATTCAAATGTCATTTAACTTAAAGGCTCCATCAGACCATATGTGCAGATACTTGAGATGATGACAGAGTTAAGCTTCCTAGGGTCCTAGAGTCAAAGAAACTCTGCTGACCCCCACTGCTAAGCAGGTGCACTCCTTCCACAGGGGGCAACATCTGCCGATCAGTCATGGTCCCACTTGGTGAGGACCCCAAGAAACTTCCTTGGGAAGAAACAATTTTCTCAGGACTGGCAGCCAGTTTGGGGGATGTGGAGAAGTTATATCCGTACAATGCACAGGGACTGTGTAATCTGAAAGTGTTATAGGAACCCTGATGGGTCTGGTTAGTGGCAAAGGCATTGCTGGAGGGTGATGGCATGATATACTGGAGCTGGGGGGACATTCCTGAAATCTGCATGGATAAGCTGGTCTGTGGGCAGCTGAAGGTGTCCCCGTCAGTGCCACCCATGGACATGTTCACGGAGGTGCTGCTGCTCACGCCCACATAAGAGGGAGTCCTGGGTGGAGCGAAGGTCTCGCCAGCCTGGTTGGTGAGCCTGTTGTAGGTCTCGGCCAAGGATGTACTGTATCGGTTGAGAGTGAGGCCCGAGCGGGCACAGGCAGAATAGTCAGCAGGGGCCAGACTACACAGCTGGCTGGTGTTGGGCCCCAGATGGAAGGCAGGGGAGGAGCAAGAGGAGCCAGACAAAAGGTGAGGGTGAGTGGCAGGAACGCCATTCCCAGTACCTTGGAGCAAGGTGGAGGAACTTGAATTGCCTACAAAAGAAGTTGAAATGTAAAGAACGACTCCATAGTCATCCTTTCCTTTCAATTTTGTAAATATGAGCTAGACACAGTTTGTTGCAAGGCAAAGGTTGGGGGAATGCTACCAAGATGAAAAGAAGATGGTCTCAGCTTTCAAGGAATTATCTGGTTGGAAAATCTCATTTCCAATTAGAAAACAGGTTGTTGAATCACATGCTACACAACTGCAGAGGTCCAACAAATAAACAGTACTGTGAAACTTAGAGACGGTAGTTAACCCTGTGTCCGTCCAACCAATGGTGGCGACAGTGCCCTCTGGATCTGCTGGCAGATTGATGTTTGCAAACTTGACAGAAATTAAGGGGAGAGAAGAATTCCAAAGGGCTGGACAGGTTGTAAAACCTACATTGCTCTAGTGATGGTGTTTTATACAGTGCCTCAAAATAATCTAAAAGCCCAGTCCAACCAATGGTAATTGTCTGAATTCCAGCATGGTAAATTCTCACTGGAAGCTGGGCAGGATGGTGGTAAAAAGCCTGAATGTCAGAGTGAGCTCAGAGTGTTATCTATGGAGCAGACCAGAGAGGAAGCAACATCTCTTTCCATACAGCTCCCTCTGAGAAGAAACCAGCCCTGTGCTGCTGAGAAATATTCAGAGATGAGCCCAGGGAGGTCTGTTTGAATGTGCCTGACCTTCTCATCATTAACCCAACAGGAAAACCCTGCCCAGCGGCAATTCTGCTGAAGAAAGAAAATAAACAAGATGTGAAGAAAGGGTGAACTGGGGCCACCATCAACAATTTCTTGTGAAGTACACCTGGCATCAGGGCCCACCAGTCCACCTCTAATGTTAATATGAGATTTAAGGATGAGGTAAAGGTCATGAAATATATAAACAGTCTAAGATGTCTAAGATTTAATCTGTGACCATGACAGCCATGTTTTTCCTGATCCATCTCCATACCATGCAGAAGATGGGTGGGATCTGTAGGACAATGTTGGTGATGAGGTCATTATTGTAAGTATAAATAATGACTTGTACACTTTTACTGCCTGAGCTTCTAGGCAGGATAGGCTGTCTATATGACCCAGGAGACTTTGTAAGTTACCTTGCTTGGGAATTCCAGGAATATCTTCAAAGGTGAGAGTCCGAAGTGAAGGTCGCCAGAATGCATATGATTCCACCAAGGCTTCCAAACCCATTCTAAATGGAAGGGTTAGGAAAAAGGTGGACAAAAGAAGTCTAGTTAGGAACATTTGGAGCTTTCACCAGCAGCAAGCATCTCAAAACAACAGTGGCACTGACAGTACTCCCCACACTGTCAGGTTAGAAGCATGCCACAAGCAATAAGACATGCTTCAGCAGTGGGCTAACATTCTGTCACCAGCAACAGGACAGACTTGAAACCATCCACCCAAGATGACTGTTAACATTCTCAGGAAAACTCAGCTGACCTGAGGGGTGAAAAGCTATTCCCTTGGGCTAAGGAGCTGACATCCTGGCTGCTGTGAGTCCAAGGCTCTGCTGTGATCTGGAATACCCCCTCTCTTCCTGTCCAGCTACTTCTCCTTCAAAGTGAGTCAAGGCATTGCCACAAAAGCACATTCCTGGAAAACCAGCTCTTTTCCAAGAGGCATTACTGCTTATCATTTGATGCCTCAGCAGCCAGCTCAGGGGAGCACTCATTCAAAGAAGACTGACTTCTCTCTCAGGAGCACAATCTCTACCACACAGTGTAGCCAGGCTGGACTCCTACCATCAACAGGAGGGCCATGAAGAGATGGCACTGGCCTCTCCCTGCAGTGTGTGGGAGGAGAACAGGAAGGTGACCTCACAGGGCTATCTGGTATATGGGGTTACTATTAACATCACAAATTATTTTAAAGTCCTGAAATACACTTAATGAATGGATACTTAAAGAGACAGGATAAGTTTGACACATGACATACGTATATTTTAAAACAAGGCAAACTACTCTAAATACATATATCAACCACCTCTTACCATGAATGATTCAGACTTCCCCTTTGTATTGTAAGCTAAGTCCTCTGGGTTCTGGAAATGAGGCCCTTCACTCAACTGGACCATTCTCAAGACAGCCACACCTGAGACCTCATCACTCTTCCTTCAACCACCTCAGCCCTAAGCAACTTGTTGATCTAGATAATATTACTTTTCATAAAACCTGTGACTCCACTGTAGAAAATACTTGCATCCTGCGATTTCCAATGATATTCAGCTATCTCCTGTGTGGTTTCAGGTATCTTTAATAGCTTGACTGAAGGTGCTACCTCCTCTGAAGTCCCTGCACCCCAAGTCATAACCTGCAAACTAAGACTAGAGGAAACCACCCCAGAGAGTCATACCACACACACAATATGATGAAAGCTCTCTAAACACCAGAGGTAAGTGATTTGTGCAGACAAAACTATCTCACACTACTTGTCCATCTGTTCCAAGGCCTCACACACAGAATTTGCTTCCTTAGAGTGCTCAGGGTATAATGTCTGCTAATTGACTTCTGTACTCACTCTGGAGGAATATACCTACCCCATCTTAGTGACAGAATTTGTAGCCCTACATGTGTGGAGGGGAGATGTGTATACATGCACAGGGTTGCATGCATTAACACACCTCCTGAGGCTGCACATAAACCTGACTCATCTCTAAGTCACAGGCTCTGGGGGTGCAGCTCTGGGAACACTTCAAAGAGACATCTGTAGCCCCACAGAGGGGATAGTGCAGGGCTGCCAAAGAAAAGAGCAGAGCACAGAGGGGACCTGCACCTGCTCCACCTGGGCTACCCTGAGCGAGAACAGAATCTGGCTTCTGATGTAATCAATGTGCACAGAGAGAATTATTTAGTGGTAAGGACACTAGATTGGGGTCAGAAGGACTAGGCTGGCACTGCAACTCACTAAACCCATTGTCTGACCTTAAGTAAATTTGCTAATCTCCCTAAACTTCAGTTTCTCACAAAGAGAGGATGAGATTACCCCTATTGGTCCTAACATTGTTTCATTCTAAGTGATTTTTTTCCAAACAAGTCATTGTATCTATGGCCAAACTACAAGCCAAATCAAAGTTCATGCCATTCGATAATATTTTCTGTACTGGTGTATTGATTTCTGGTCAGTTTGGCAGACATGGTCAGTTCCAAAACTCATGTTGCCTATGGGTGTATTTAACACTGGACTATTGAACTCTGGGTGATGTTTAGCTGATTACCCTCTATTCAGCTTATACCAATACTAAATTTTGTGACTTTCTAGAAGTAAGATGATTTTAAATGCAAAAGATTGTTAAGACACAGCTTAATATAAAACAGCTTTTAATTACCACACAGATGAGTTTGAGTAATTGCTGTTTTAAATATCAAAGGTACTAAGGTGATCAAAGGTACTAAGGTCTTGAGGGGAGTTTACTAAGATAATTAACAAGCATCCACTGGACTTAGAAACTGATTGACTATAGAGATGTATCTTACCGCATCATTTGCTTTGACAGTATAAACTTTATTATGATTCAAATATAAATCCATAAACTAAATTCTCAGAGAGAAATTATTGATCATCGTAAATATATAACCCTAAGCTTTAAAGAGATGCTCTGAAGGTGACATAGCTACAAGTGATCTCATATGGAGCAATCAATATTTTTTCTGAGGCTGCTGTTTCACACTGCAAGTTCCAGAAAGGATTTCAGACATTTTGCAGGAAACAGTTATAAAATATTTATTAGCTGAATCTGGACATTTTTAAAAAAGCCTTCATTTTCTCCAGTAATGGAGACCTTTCCCAGCTAGTTAAAGAAAAGATAAAAGGCACCTCCTGCAGGAGTGCAGCCAAGGCGATAATTTATACAAGATGCCTTTGAACAATTTCCACATTTTATCACCACCCTAATTTATGCTATCAAATGGCCAAGTTTATTTAGTTAAATGGTTATGTTTTTCCTGAAGTATTTAAAGAGAAGAAATTTTTGTACCTTCCTGAGTAAAAAATTTTATAGGGTTAAACCGAAGGCCTAACTGAAGAATGAAACTATTCTCAGCACATAAATTCTCTCTCACATAGCAAATGTCTTGCAGGAGAGCTTTTAAGGGCCGAAGCTACTGATTCCTGTAAAATAGACCGTGGAGCTATAAATAACCAGAAAAAGATAATTTTTAATTAAGGCAAATTGTTTTATAAAGTTTAAACAATCACAAGTCTATGTTTATTTCTTGTCCTGATCAATCTGCATATTTCATGTACAGGGTAGGGGAAATAAAAATAGAATTTGTTTTAAAAAACACTAACAACAGCACAATAGAACCAGGGGTATGTTAAACTTTTTTTCATAGTCTTACTTCTCTACTAATATATTTAAAAAATCATGCCCCTCCATGCCCATGCTCCCCAAACCACTGTGCCCTCCACAAAGTCTTATATATAACTTGGTCTTTTTAAAGGAAACTAATATTAGAAACTAAAGTTAGAAATGTTCACAGGTGACTGAATTATCTCTTCTCCAAATGTGTCTTTTGCATTTGTCAATGGGAAACGTTACAATCAGATTTTTAAATAGAGGAATGATAATTTATAGATATTTAGCATTCCAAAGTAAGAAGTATTAGTAAATAGCTTATCTATAATAAGCAAGAGAGTTTCAGCAAGGAAAAAAGTTGAAACTTTGTTTCACTAGCAAGAAAGCCACATATAGGTTCAACATGCTTTTCATGTACTATAATATTGTTTAAACCCTTGAAAAAAATTAAAATTTTAAATTTTAACAAAATTTTAAAAGCATTAAAACATAATTCACTGTCTTCTGTATGTTCCTCCAAAACTTTTAAAGCTTTAGAGTCAGGAAAGAAATGGTAACAAGCACCATGGATGTCATGCCTACATACTCCTAAAATAGTGAAATAGCCAAAGGGATAATAAAATCCTTACCAAAGCTAGCATTTTGACCTCACCATATCAAACAACAGACCTAGTATTTATATTCAACAATACCACTGTCTTTTTCACTGACCAAATTTAAGTAACCAAAAGTATTTTCATTATGCTGAATATCTAGAACTCTTCCTGAAACCTTGTCATATGCATCTATCATCTCACTTCTTGTATACAATATGCCTTTAAACAACTTCCACTGCACTATATTGTTGTACTCAACTATACTGGAGTAGAGTCATATCAATAAATTCATTCACTATTATCTGTTCAAAATATACTTTTAAAAATATTTTAAATGTATCCTTTCAAAAATGAACTGACTGTGCACAAGCATATGACCCCTGAGTCTGCAGCAGTGAAGTCTTTGCTAGAGCAATTGATAGCTTGGCTATAGTTTTTGGTTGTATATTCTTCAAGCCTGAGTATTTCTCTCCTGGAATTTCAGTGTTTTAATAAATTCCTTTTCTACTTAAGAAAAAAAACCTGAAAGTAATACAAGACTCTTAAATGGACAAATACTATTCTGCTATAACAAAAATCACAAAATAATTCCATCAAAGCATTTGCCAAGGTGAAATAGGAGTCATTCCAAAGGGTCTCTTCAGTCACCTCACTACGTGGCCATCTCCAGTTATTAAATGATGGTTCAATTTGCATCTAATTTTCAGAAACACCTTTGAAAAACAAGGTTAATCAGGGCTAATGTAATGAAACAAAAGCCAAATAATTTTTTTCTCTACATTTAAACAGACATCTAAAAAACAAAATAATTTCAATACAGCAGACAAGTTTTATGTGTTAGGAATATCTACAAAGTTTCCTACAGAGTGAAAAATTTCACAGGAAATCCCTGCTATTAGTCTTCCTGATTTACCTGCACTAAATTGAAGGCCACTCTACTCTCAGTGCATTTTAACTGCATTTCAGTCCTCATGTTGCATGGTGTTTCAATGATGCCACTGCATATGAAAATGGCATCACATCTCTGAAAGCCTTTGAGTGTATTCTGAGACAAACTCTGTTCCCCCATCTTGTCTAATTAATCAACTGAAAGAACTAAGAATCTGGATTGTTTTCCCTCTAAAATTTCAAATGAAACTGTTTCTAAAATAATTGGGGATTTTCAATGATTATTAGAATAATTTCAGGAGTAAAGTCATAAAGATTGTTAAAACACTCTTTTAAAAAATAAGCTGCTTTTAAACACGTTTAAGTAGAAGCATTACTCTAAAAAGGCATTTGCAGAATTGTAGTCTATTATTACTTTCTCTCACTACTTACTAATGGTTATTTTAGAAAATGTATTGAACTATATTGGAGTAGAGTCATATCAATAAATTCAAAAACCCTTCGGCACATAGATTAGGCGATCCACTTTTTGATAAAAGTAATAGAGTGGAATTCATCATTGTGGCTCTACCACTTAGTACAAACACCACAAAATGTGAAACAGAAAAAAATAAAAAGTGTGTGGCTGTCAGCAGAGGCAAGACAAATTTGAAAACTAAAAAACATCAGCTCTCTTGGCAATGGAGAATAGTTTCATATTCCAGCTGGATATATGACTCAATGAAAGACCTTATCATACTCCACAGACAATATAGATAGTTGCATCATCACCAAAGAAATCTAAACCAACAGTAGAGGCAAAGAGGATATTTAAATGGGATACTGAAGCCTCTGTGCCTGTAAGATCAGGTTTCTTCAGGGCCCCCTTCAGAAACATCATGCAGTATACACCCTGAGAGCCTCCGTTTTCAGCTCAGTATCACACATGAACATTCACCTTAGGGTAGATCACACCATTACAGTACAAAAATAAGTTACCTTCAAGGCACAATGGTTCTCATCAGAAATGATTTCATTATCAAATTAGTAAATTTAGCCATTTACTTTGTAATAGAAAATGCATAATAAAATATCAAACATATTTATCACAACCAGAATGGTCTTCACTAAGGCCCACCTGTTGCGCCCAGAGTCTCGGAAGCCTTTAGCAAATGGATTCCTATCTATCTTCAGGCGAGTAATCTGCAGAGTAGGGAAAAAAAAATCAAATCTTACATAAATGTCAAGTAAGGTTCTTACTTGATTGCAGAACTACAGTAACTCAAAAATTAACTGTTAGAAAACTCAATTGTATGCCCCTCTTTCATTCCTCAAGTTTTTAAATATCCTAGCAGTAAAGCAAAAGAAAATTTCAGAAATCATCTAGAACATTCATCTGCTATAAAAAAGATACTTCATTCCTTTTCAATCTGCATTAATAGATATAAATTTGTTTTGTTTTTAATATTCCCGGAAAAGGAGATTCTGAATCATCTCTTGGTAACTTGCCTTATATTTGACAATGCTCTGTGAACTGAAGTTCTTCCCTTTAACTCTGAGACATGGTTTAATCCTGTTTCTCTCTCAATAAAGGTAATGAGGAGTAACTCCTATCCAACTTCTATTCAAAGCCATTTAAATGTTAAGCTCCTACACAGCTTTCTCTTCTTCAAAATTAGGTAATAATATACACACCCCTTTAATTTTCTGCCTCTGTGTTTTTCTTTGTCTCTCCTTTAATATTCTTTGTGTCTCTTATATGAAAGTCTTATTCTTTTATCTGTGGAGTCCTAACCTAGTCAGAGCACTACAGTGAATGTCCTACCAGGGGTAACCACTACTTGAAGATTTTAATGACATCAAACCTCATACGACATGGAATAAAAATAAATTATGCTTTAATTTTATTTTTTAACTTTCTTTCAAAATAAACTGTATTGTGTTATATTGAGGTATACAACATACTATGAGATATGTAGGTAGTGAAATGGTTCCTATATGTGATGTTTTAGTTTTAACAGGAGTTCTAATTTGTTGACTCATAAAGAGCTTTCAGTCCACTAAGACACCAAGAGTCAGGGGGAAATTTTTTACAAATGATTTAATCATGTCCATCAATAGTTTTTTTTTTTTTTTTGTTATGCCATCCTGAACTCGACACTAATAAATAACATCTCATCTGTTTATTACCAGATCTATACTTTGCTCACAAGAATTTACAGCCTATTTTCCAAGAGACACATCATGTTTTGCCTTCTAAATTCCTGGGCTTAATGAACTCTACAAAGTTAATGAACATACTTCTAATTGCACCATCTTGGCTAAGGACGAAAACTGTTGGATAAAAGACATCTGCAGTCCCCCTGCATTGCCTGTGCACACTCTCCAATTGGAAACGCAACACTTGAGACACATGTGTTCCATATGATGTTATCTTAGTATGTGGATAAAACTACATTATAAATGATATAATGAAAGGGTTTGCTAATTAAGTCATGATGTCTGCCACTCTGTCATTGAAGGAATTCTTCTTTACAGGTCAATACAGCTCAATTTTCTGTTTATAAAAATAATGTTTAAAAAACATTAAGCAATGTAAATGTTCATTTAAAATATTGTTTTTAAAAACATACAGATTTATATAATGATGCCTTGTCAAAACAAAGATATAACACAATTACTATCATTATTTGTATTACTAACATATGTATTGAGTGCATAAAATGTACGCTGTGCTAAGTTGTATGCATACTACTCATTTAATTACTAGAGCAACTCATATATAGCTATTGTCTCAGTTTCGTGTTTTATTTTCAACTGAAGCTTAAGTAACCCAGGCCCACAGGCTGCAGAGTGCATGCTATTAACCACTAGTCTGCTTACAGCGTTCCATAAGTTCTTAAAAACGGTTGCCAGGAAACTAAAAAGTAAACATGATTGCATTTCACCATTATCAATTTCCCCTCTAATCTGTTCACCATCTTAATCAACTCCTCAATGTTCACTAATTAGTGTTAGTCACAACATATGCCAAAAGCTGAATGCATTGCACTTACTGTACCACAGAGGATGGCAGAAAATACACAAAGAGCATAGTTAATTCATGTGTGAGAGAGAAACAAAAAGAAGAGATGGAAAGAGAGACAATGAATTGAGATTGTTAAAAGGATACTAAGTGGCTCTGCTATTTTCTCCTCATGCATTGCTTTTTCTCCCCAAAAATCATTCTCTGCCCCTAATATGTTTAAACATATTAAATATATAATTATAATATATTTAATATATTACATATTAATGTATAGCATATTATACAATTTATACATTTATATTTGTAAGTTGAATATATTTAATATAAAATCATAAATATATTATATTAAATACATAATTATAAATATATTATCTTATAATATATTAAATATGCGATATTAAATATATTGTGCTCACTTTGGCAGCACATATACTAAACTGGAACAATACAGAGAAGATTAGCATGGCCCCTGCACAAGAATGACACATAAATTCATGAAGCATTCCATAAGTATATATATAACATTAAATATATTTCAATATATTGTTAAATATATTACAGTAAATATATTTTACATAGCATTAAAATATTAATATATTTGGTAACATATTAATAAATATACATTAAATATATTTTAATATATTATTAAATATATTATCTCTGGACCTTCTAAAACTTACATTTCCTGTTCCTTCCTAAAAGTTTATAAAAGAGTGGCAACATAAGTGTGAGAGGACAGAACAACCTTCAGTTGTGGGACTGATTGATGTCTCCATACCAATAAGAGTTATTGAGCCTCTCAGCCCAAAGAACACATGGGCTAGAATCCAAATTTTCTAAGAAGTTTTATAACAACAGAAACCACAATAGAGAGATTAAAAACCTTTAAATTTGTAATTGAAATGTATATAAATATAAAGAGAAATGGAGACCTAAAACAATTCTGCTGACCACTGAAATAATAATTTTAAAAATCTACTACAGACCACATTGGCTTACATTACATGGATATTTCTTGAAACTCTGGAATTCTACCATGGATTACATATTGCCTCTGATTCAATTCTCCACCTAACTGACACATACAGATATAGCCTTAGATAAATATAGATGTTTACCCATATAGAAAAGAAACATTTCACTTCTCAAATTATTTCTAACTTTATGAAATGCTTATTCTACCATTGCTGATTTCTCAGACTACAAGCATGTTTGTCATCTTCTATGACAATTAAAGACTGTCTTGAAAGAAATAGCCCTTTTGTATATGTACCAAAACAACTCTACAGGTTGAATTCTTCTGAAATATTTTTAGACTGTGGTTTCGAAATAAAGTGACTTATCAAGTCTTCTGCTCTATTATACAATTCATTTTTAATATTTTACATGACTATTTTCTAGTCAATACAAATACATTGTAATTTTAATTATGATATCATAATTTCATAGCTCAAAATAGAAAGTAAACCTACACTGTCAGTCACAAGACATGGTTTGTCATCATCATTAGAGTAGCCTTACTTGGGGAATCATGGATAAAGAACTGTTGTTCATACACACACACACACACACATACATACATACACACACACACACACACATTGAATGTCATACATGGCAAATGCTTTATTCCTAACATTGACAGTGAGAACGATGGCTAACTTCCTCTCTTCCCCTAAAATGAAAATCTACAAAGATACCAATTCTGAGAACATACCTGCTGATTCTGATAGGCAGTGACAGTTGTGAAGACAGTTTCTGGAAAGGAGAATGCCTTTACTCCCTCCCCGGATGGAATAGGCTTGATGGGAGAAAGATCGTCTCCACAGTCTTTACGGATGACATGCACTCGTGGTTGGTATTTGTGCATAGAATGAAGAATAATCTATATCAAATAAGGAAAAGGCAAATTTATCAGGAGCCTCTGCCTAATCTCAACACCATGACTAAATATTTAATGTATACAATCAATTCTAATTGGTAATTATTTCCAAGGATGCAGATATATTATATATTTAATAAGATATATCAGAACTGGAGAGGAAAGGCAAAGAAGTTATTTGTAAATGTACATAAGAATACAAAATAAAGGCCGGGAGCGGTGGCTCATGCCTCTATATCCCAGCACTTTGGGAGGCCGAGGCGGGTGGATCAAGAGGTCAAGAGATGGAGACCATCCTGGTCAACATGGTGAAACCCCGTCTCTACTAAAAATGCAAAAATTAGCTGGGCATGGTGGCGTGTGTCTGTAGTCCCAGCTACTCGAGAGGCTGAGGCCGGGGACAGGAGAATTGTTTGAACCCAGGAGGCGGAGGCTGCGGTGGGCCAAGATCACGCCATTTCACTCCAGACTGGGTAACGAGTGAAACTCCGCCTCAAAAAAAAAAAGAATACAAAATAAAAAGCACTATCTTAGTGAAACTCTGTGTGCAACCATGTGAACTTAACAACAAATTTTCAATTGCTAAAACCACAGGAATAAATTAATACACATTTTATTTATAATGAGCCCAATGGAACACAGAGTCCAAACCAATAAAACTACAAATGAGACTGAAATCATTATTTAAATTGCACCACACCCATCCCCTAAAAAATAAGCATTCGCGGACAAGGTTTTTTTCAGAGGAAATTTTTTCCCAATTCGTGACTACATATGTCTATTCAAGGGCAAAGGGAATTTTAAGGACACTCCAGCATCTGTTTTTTGTATGGCTCACAAAGTCTCTGGTTTGCTGGGAGCGCCCAATGTCTCTGCCTCTACCACAATGAGGCTTTCATCACTCAGACTTCAGAGAACAGAAAAGCTGGCCCTCTAAGATGCTGTTGGTGAAATCTGATAATATGGTCCAACTACCTTCTACCCAATGATTCCACATCTGAGAATTTATCCTAAGAAAATATTACAAATTTAGAAAAGCTTTCATGTACAAAGATGGGCATCACATTATTTTTAACAGTAGAAACCTATAAATCACTTACATATCCAACATGAGTAACTCAGGTGAATGAAATCCACACAATAAAATACAGCATTTTTTTTAACCATGTAATAAAATACTTTTAAAATCTAAAATTTTTTAAATGACCCAAATTGTTTATAAACTTGTCACAACTACATAAAAATAGAGTAAAAAGGACCCATACAAAGATACGAACAGTGATTTCCTCTAGATGGTGGAATTGTGAGTGAACTTTTTCTTCTTTATATGTTCTATGCTTTAAAGGCTGATGGGGTAGGGTGAAGAAATAGCTTCAACCAGTGGGATTTTCTACTGGCTGCTGGGATTCCATATTCAGGTATTCATTAAGGAGTTTCCTTAAGAAACCTGCATTTTTTCTGGGCTGTAAGATTTGAATTCAGTTTCTGGGACATCATGAATTTGAAAAACAAATGTTTAGAGAAAAGTCTTAGAAAAATGCAGTGGATGGCCTGCCTTGTGTTTAGGATGTGGGCAGTTTAAAAAGACACATTCAGAATATTTGGTCAGTCCAAACACAGACTGTCCTATATATGGAAAGTGTTTGCTGCCACAAGAAGATTCTTTACCTTCCGGCAGCAAACAGCACTGTGGCCAAGACTTTTTTTCACCCTACAGTTTTCCTTCTATCAGTGGAAGAAATGCCTGGATAGCACATCTAATGATCACGCCAACCAGACATACTAGGAGAGGAAGCATGAGTATGAGGAAAGGACAAGAGGGGAAACCAGCCCTCATCATCACCTGTGGGTGCATGCAAATCTTCAACCTCAGGAAAATTCTCCTTCCAGAAATTCTGGAAATTTCTCTTTGCTCTATGTAAAGGGTAGAATTTTAATGACCCATTAGTGACTCACCAAATGAACATAAAGGGTTGCAACCAGAAATTTTTTTAATAGGTAGAAAATAAAATGCATATTTTGTTGTTAGGTAGAAGGTTTGAAAAACACAGAAGCAACATTTAATTCTAATGATACCAATGATAAGCACACTCGAAACAGATTTTTCGTGAATACAGAATATTTTTATTCCCATTACTTTTGTATATTACCTAAGTAATATGTTCACTAATCCTCATTTAAAAAGGTATAATCTAAATCTAAGTTTATATTCTTGGAAGCACAGTATCTCTGCAGAATTGAAAGATATCTTGCAGACATTTGGACCCATTAGTTATTCTTTCTCAGAACTATATTAGGAAAAAGGAGTAGGCAAGATAGATTCTAAGGTCTGTTTGCCACCCTCCAATTAGAGGTGCTTCCCTTCCCTACTTGATAGGCAGAGTTCTGTGTGACTTTACATTAGACATAGTTAAGTCTGAAAAAACTGACATTAATACTCCAATTTATAGGTGGCAAGCTAAGGTCTACATAAGCAAGAGAATTCTGAATCCTCAAGGCTGAACCTGGAAGCTGGGTTCCATGGCCCATGGCTCATCCTCCCACCACCACCACATTCATTTGAATTTAGTATCAATTCATATTTTGTGGGCAGGTATCATCACAGGGCAAGGCCCAACAAAAGAAACAGAAAAAAAGGGTCTCAACCTATAGAAGCAGTTAACTAAGCCCCATCTGTGTCTCATCAGTTAACATACTCTTTAACATGCTCTTTTTATATAAACATAAAACAGCATACGACCAATCATATCATAATAACTGTTAATGTTAACTCTGCTTTTCCCCCTCCCTATTTCTTAATTAATTTCTCTCATTAGAAAGTAATATTCACTTGGTATCTTGGGGAGTAGGGGAGTTTAAAGGAGAGCTCTTCCTCTTCTCCAAGTTAAGAAACAAAATGCCACTGGTAAGCAAACAACAAGGGACGAAACAATAAAATTTAAACTCCCAAGGAGAACTAGTGTATCTTTTAGAAAGAAATTTCTCAGCAGAAGAAAAACTGGAGAAAACCTGCTTTCCATTAAACAAACAAAAATAAATGCATAGTCAATTTCAGAAAATTGGATTGAGTTGTGATGAAAGAAAGATTCATTTGTGTTTCTTTTTACTAGTCAATGAAAAGCGGGTTCTATGAAGCAGGTGTCTATGAAGATTGTTTTCTCAATCAGATTTCTCCATATATTTTAAGGACTTTTTTAATAAGGACTTACCTTTCAAAAAAGACTTCAAATGGGGTATATTGGAGAGGGTACAGAAATGGCTGATATATGTCTTGTTTGCATGTTAAGGAGCAATTATCGATAGTAATCTGAAGATTGCTCAAGGAAAATAATATATATTCAGTATTATCTACAAGAATTTCATGTATCCCTGGATTTTTGGGGGGACTGAGAAGCCTCAGTTCTTCTTTGTAAGACAGCATTATGTGCTTTTTAACGTCTCGTACGGTCCTAGGTTCAGTCAAATCACTGCAAGGATTTGATTCCTGCAATCATTTTGTGTTAAATGAATAAAAGTCCCAAGTCTCCACTGAGTTTTCAAGTCACTATGCTGCACACTTGCAGAGATTTGGCAGAATAAAACTAGGCCCTGACAAGAGAAAAATAGGAATTTAGAAAGCAAGCTAGAAAACCATCTCTCATTTGAGTCTACAGCTTTACTAATTACAGATCAATGTTAAATTCTTTTGGAATTGGGGGCTCTGAGGTGGGCAGGGGCAGAAGGGGTGAACAATTTGATTATTAACTATCAAATTTATAATCATGAATCCTCAATAAAATTTTGCTTATTTAATAAAGCAAATAGAACCAGGAGAACCACTGGCCTTATAAACAAGAAGACACAATATAATGTCCATCTCCAAAACACAAATAATTCTATGTGATGTACAATGTTCAATGTTCTCTGATCTGTTTACAAAGATTATTTTTTGAGGTTTAGCTAGCAGCATAGTCACACCAAGTCCATAAATACAGACTGCTTTTGCAGGTACAGGCTAATACATTATGAGTCAAAAACAAAAAGCACAGCATTGTTTATTTCTGATCTGATGAGTGGAAAGAGCTTAAGATATGACAGGCAGGCAAACTGCCTCTAGTCTTACAGGATAGCTCAATAAGAAAACATTCCCTGCTGACTGGAAATTTTCCAGATGACCTAAATTCTCATGATGAAATTAGTCAATTAAGGGTCCAATGAGAAACAGGTAACAAAAACCTGGCTCCCTGCATTTTTTGGTAACACCACAAACCGACTCACTTTAAATGGTGGGAGTCAAGGCTGTAACCACCACAAACTCCACAGCAAGGTAGCCTTCTTTTTGTTTAATGTATGATGTTGTACATGATGGACTCTTTACAAATATGTACTTTTGAGTTCGTCAGCTCATTTGGTTCACTCTAAGTTCTCTGATTCCAATATAATCCATGAAAAAATCAAGCTCAGAGTGAAAGTGGCTTGCCCACAAACCCAAATGTGTCATACTTCTAAGCAACTGTAAGTTCCTTCCACCAGGGAAACCTCTGCAACCTCCCCTATAACATATTGTTTTCACACCTGCTTCTTAAGGAGAAACGAGAAAGAGTCAAGGCATCAGTATCACAGATTCCTCAGCAGCTGGAAGTACAGGTCCTCCCACAGGCCCCGCTGTGGCTGTCTGGCCATGCTTCCTTCCAAAGCACCACAGCACCGTGGGTATAAATCCTTCTGAGGCTTAAGGTACACCACTACCTGTTAAATGTCTTCTAATTTTTAATGAAAATGCTTATCTAACTGTTTTCCTTCAGTTGGAAAATTCCAGAGGAATTGGGAATCATGTACATGATGAGAGGAATTACGCTACCCATGCATGTTAACCCCTCTGCACATGGGTAGCTCAAGGACCAGTCTTGGTTTGTATAAAAGCCAGCATAAAGTTCCCTATGGATTCACCAAGGATCAAGAAGAGATTAGTTCTTCAAAACATTCAAAGATTAACTGTGAAGTGGTGGAACACTTCCACTCTGGAATTTCACCACTCTTCCTCTCCAAATAATTCCTTATATTTGAACAACTGAAAAGTCACTTTGTGGAAAACCTCAATGTCACATTATCTCATGTCTCATGTGTACCTATGTCCAGTCAAAGCACTCTGAGGATTTGATTCCTGCAGTTATTTTGTGTTAAATTAATAAAAGTCCCAGGTCTCCATGGAGTTCTTAAGTCACTATGCTGCACACTTACACAGTTTTGGCAGAGAAAAACTAGAAACTGAGAAGAGGAAACAAAGCAATTTAGAAAGCAAGCTAGAAAATCACCTCTCATTTGAGTCTATAGCTTTACTAATTAGATTAGAGATCAATGCTACTTTTTTTGGAATTAAGGCCTTGGGGTGAGCAGGGGCAGAAGGGATGAACCTCAACTATGTAAGGGTAGAGGAGTAAGTTCCCAAGAGGTCTCTGCATCTGCAAAGGGCCTATTGAATTAGATAGTCCTACCATAACAATACCATTGTCTTCTTATACCCTGAATCACAATCAATAATAGAATTAGAAACAAATTCCTAATGTCTAATCTAGCCTCATTTCGGGTTACTGAGCTGAGTAAATCAACAGATTCTTTTTTAAAAGGCCTTTCCAATCTTTCCTGACTGGAAGACAGTGACACTGGCATCTGTACTTCTCCGAGCTGGCAGGATGATGATCTGTGTACATGGCTTCTTCTCACCCCACCTAGGCTAGAAACTCACAGAAAGCAGAGATTATGGCTTTGGTATCTTATTTTTTTGGTTTTTGAGACAGAGTCTCACTCTGTCACCCGGGCTGGAGTGCAATGGCAAGATCTCAGCTCACTACAACCCCTGCCTCCTGGGTTCAAGTGATTCTCCTGCCTCAGTCTCCCAAGTAGCTGGAACTACAGGCAAGCACCATCATGCCTGGCTAGTTTTTGTATTTTTAGTAGAGATGAGGTTTCATCATGTTGGCCAGGATGGTCTCAAACTCCTGACCTCAGGTGGTACACCTGATTCAGCTTCCCAAAGTGCTGCAATTACAGGCATGAGCCACCATGCTTAGCCCAAGGAACCGTGCCCAGCCAACTTTGTGTCTTTTACCACATTGGATAACATCTTCAGAAGTATGTTTTCTAAGTGAATAATGGAAAGAGCACTTTCCCTCCTACATTTTCCTCTCATATCAATTAATATGTACGTATTTATCATTCCCAAAGGCAATTTACTTCCTTCCACACTGCACAGATACATCTCTCTCCCTACTCCCCACATGTCAAAGTACCTCTATTTATTCAACTAGAACATTCTGCCACAAACTTAAAGAAAAAATTTCAGCAGTTAGACAACATACTTCTTTATATTTTGATTATTTTCTGCTATGTTATTTATTTCCATAATAGTAAAGTATTATTTAGGTTTAAGTAACTAAATTTCAATTTTCAATGTATTATTTTGTGTTTTAAACAAATGCTGTGTGACACTTAATCTTATATGGCAAATTGGCTATGCCACAGTACCCAGGTATTTCATGAAACACTGGTCTAGATGTTGCTGCCAACATTTAAATCAGCAAACTTTGAGAAAAGTGGACTACTACTCTTCATAATGTGGGTAGGCTTCATCCAATCAGTTGAAGACAGTAAGAGAAAACAGACTGAGATGCCTGAAGGAAGGGGAAATTCTGTCAGAAAACTACCTTCAGACTCAGGCTGTAACATCACTTCTTCCCTAGGTTTCTAGCCAGCTGTGCAAGTTTTGGACTTGTCATGTCCCAAAATTTCCTGGGTAAGTTTCTTAAAACAAGTTGTCTCTGTCTCTATCTGTCTTTCTCTTTTTCTCTCTCTCCACACACACACATCCTATTTTCAGAAGGATGTTGTTTATATAAAGTCTATTGAAATCACAAAGTTAATATCATACAGGTTGAAAACTTACAAGATCTATATTTAATATCTGTTAGATATTAGATAGAAAGCCAGTAATGTGCATGGAAAAAATTAGAACTGTAAAATGATTATGTTGATTTATATTATTAAGAAGTTTATAACTTATACATGAGGGTACACTGTTTTTACCCCCACTTATCTCTTTAGAGCATATATTCTTTAAACTGTAGACCTCACAAAAAATGTACTGTACTTAAGGTTTTGATAATAAGTAACACTAAGAACATTAAGTCTAAAATTTCATATTCCAAAAACAAAGTCTTTTAATGAATGTGCTGAGCATATTTTACAGTCAGTTGCTTAATGACACAAAAGAAATCAGTGTTCTTTTCCTGAATTCCTATGAAAAATAATTGTTACAACTTGACTGTGTTAAATTATAAAAATAAGGAATAAAAATAAGAAAAGTAAGGAAGCAATGCACTAAAATACAGGACATGGGCCGGGTGTGGAGGTGGCTCACGCCTGTAATCCCAGTACTTTGGGAGGCCTAGGTGGGAAGATCACGAGGTCAGGAGGTCGGGATCATCCTGGCCAACGTGGTGAAACCCTGTCTCTACGAAAAATACAAAAAAATTAGCCAGGTGTGGTGGTGTGCACCTATACTCCCAGCTACTCAGGAGGCTGAGGCAGGGGAATCACTTGAACCTGGAAGATGGAGACTGCAGTGAGCCGAGATCACGCCACTGCACTCCAGCCTGGCGACAGAGGGAGACTCCATCTCGATACATAAATAAACAAATAAATAAATAATATGGGACATGAAGTTGGGTGCAGAAAATAAATCTACTATGCTATTTTCTATTTCTGTTTTAAGTCATAAAAGGCAATAATCAAGAAACAAAAACACTGGCAGTGTGAGATTTTACTAGTTGTATCTTAAAAATCCACCTACTGCATTTGTATCACAGTGAAATTTGCACTGGAATGTTTTCATTCAGGTCAGTTTCTTAAGATATTGTTTAGCAACTTCCAAATTGTATCTTGTTATCACAATATTACTAGTTTATGGCATTTTGTTTTAAAAAATATTCTCATAAATATGCTATCTTTATATCATGCCTTCAAGAAATAAACAAGTTGGTATATCTTTTATGCATGATACATTCTTCAAAAGGCATTTTAATCCTTCCTCAATCAAAACTCTCTTAACAGAAACCTAATTTTAAAAATGCAAGCTTTAAACAGAAATCAGCATGTATCCAGTTACTTGTTTATTAAAATAATGTAGAAATCTTGCCTGGGAACAAAACTGCATAAAAATTAATAAGGTGTTAAAAATGACTGCATTATTGAAATGGCTGAACTCTGACTTATGTATCATGTTTCAGCAGTTTTAAGAATAAAAGGAATGATTGTTGTAACATTTTGACACATTAGATATCATTACAAAACAACTGGGGGCTTGCAGATGGAACACACAAACAGCATAAGCCTGGGGAATTACTGAGAAGCAATGAGCCTCAGCTGAAAAAGAGCTGGATGTAGACAGGGACACAAGAAATCATTATCCTTATTAACCCAACTCCAAAGTGTTCATATTAACAGTATAATCATTAGCACCTCATGGGATTTCACACAAATGTTTTACCTAAGAACATTTCTGCTTCCAGTATTTTCATTCCAATACAAATGCTGTATTTAGTTTTAACCTATTAAATGCCTCACAGGGTAACTCCCACAACAGGTACATTCTTGTGCAAATATAAACTTGATTTTGAGAAGATTATGTATTTATATTCAAGTGCAAACATAAACTTGATTTTGAGAAGATTATGTATTTATATTCAAGTGCAAATATAAACTTGATTTTGAGAAGATTATGTACATAATGATCAGTCAGGCAATCAATATTATGATCTTAGAAGCATCCATTTCCTTCAGTCAGGCACAGTGTCGATTTGGCTGTGCCATCTACAGATGCATTAGAGAGGCCATCTACTCACATGGCCTTGGTCATCCAGTTCATTGTTGGTGAGCTTCAGCTTGTCGAAGCTGATCACTTGTCTCATCCAAGTCTCCCCCGAGGCAGGCGAGTCTGGATGAATGTACACCCGGGGTGGCACAGGGGAGTCAGCATTACCTGCCACCATCCATTTAGAGCTGTGGTAAACATACCTAGAAGGCAATGACCAGGTGTTCAGTATACTGTCTATTTGTATCTTGGAACTTCCATCTCAGTAGAATCAGACAAAATGTATTCCTATTTTGTTTCAGGTTTAAACAGATCGATTTCCTCTTAACACTCAAAATAAAATTTCGAGTACTTTTCAAAACCTTTTTAAGGCAGCAGTGGCCTACTGACAATTCAGACTAAGTGGTGTGTTAAAAACTTAGTAAAAAATATGCACACCATCACCACCATAAATGCAAGTATTTTCATTCTTATGAATGACATTTATTCACCTTAGACAGCCATCTCTATTCTGATATTTTCCATTTTTCTTCTGAATATTCCATCAGCATGAAAACACAAATAGCTTTTCAAGCTCATCTTTAAGTAACTCTCAAAAATACTTGAGAATTATATCTTAAAGAGCTCCGCTTCCTTAAAGATCACTTCCCATGTTAGACTATGTACAGGCTTATGGAACAGACAGTAGAAAGGCAAGAGGAAATTGTCAGAATTTCTAGGAACTTTTATTTTAATAGAAAAAATATTTCATCTGTTATCATTTGGAACTATTTTTTTAAATACTATGACACTGTATTTTAAGGATATTCAGTTTAATTGCCAAATTTTGCATTATCATAAAATGTAGGCCCTTATTCATCTCCTATATTTCTTTCTTGATCCTTATAAAAAATCCTTTCAAATAATTTTCAAATATTACTAATCAAAAAATAAATCAAACTTTGAAAATAATGGTATGTGTAATATTACTTTTTAAATTAGGAAACAAAACATCCTATTCTATTTCCTTTAAAAGTCAAATATATCGACTCAGTACAAATACATTTAAATAATGATGCTTCAAGAAAGAAATATTAATATTTAACTATTTAATATTAATTTTTAAAATATTTAACTGATTAATTTAAAATAAGCTAATTAAAAACTAGAAACTAGTATAACAATGAAGAAAATATTATAAAATAAAATTATATACTTAGATATTTTCCTCTGATTTGTGTGTTAAAATATAGCATACAATTTAAAGCCATAATTTGCAAATAATCTTAGAAAATTCTACCTGTGTTATATACATATTTCTTTTTATAAGAGCATAAAATATTTTCAGAACACCTCTGATGAGGCCCTTTGTTTCAACTCTTTGTCACATATTTCATTTTGGGCTCAATATGTCTTTTAGTCTTTCATTTCTTTTCTTAGGAATAAATATACAATCATAAAATTTGGAATACTCTTTTAGAAACCTTCCTTTAATTGATATGATTTAATTTCAAGAAGTTCCTAATTGTGGGCTTTTCTGAATATTAATTTTACATTCTAATAAGTGACAATAACTTGACCAAATACCACTCTAACATCAGATAATTCGCTGAAAATTTTTTTCCTAATATTGCTGAAAACATTGGAAAATGAAATAAAAATCTTAGAAATTCAAGAAAAATTGCACTGTGAAAATGATTTGAGTTACTACCAACTCAAATAGAATAATATGTTCTATCAAAACCTTGAAAAAGTATGCATTTTGAATAGTCAAAACACACCAACTGACAGAATAAATGCTACAAGTTACACATTCTTTGTAAAACATTCTAAATATGAATAAATTTCTTCTTGGGAATCAAGAAAAGTGAAAACAAATTTATGTTTTACTATTTGATCTTTTAAAAGCTGGCATATTAATACTAATTTCTGAAAATTACTTAATTTCTGTGAGAGCAAATTTGAATCAATTAAGTAAAACCAACCGAAATGTAGGGAAGACACTGGGAAAATAAATAGGAGACAAATTTAGAAGAGAAAGGAATAATTATTAAGCTTATTAAGAATTATGTTATCTTCCTCAGCACAAAACCCCATTTAGAATATGAGTTTTAAATCAAGTATATTTAAAGGATGAACTTTAATATCTTCTAACTTCTGTTGTGTGATAGATCATTTTATCAAAACTCCCTAATGACTTGTTTAATTAAAATAATATAATTTATACACAAAACAAATAATAAGACTGTATTTTTATTAGCCCTTTTTGTAGTATTCCGTATATGCAGGTACTAATTAAAATCTGTGTACTTTTTATACCAGAAGCCTGTTCCAAAAAAGCAACTCCCTAAATTGCTATGTGATACAAACCAAATCTGATTTCATTAAAAAACCTACTGAAAGCTGTGTTCCAAACAACAGCAACGAAAAAAAAACAAAAAAAAAACAAAGAAATGAAGATGAGCAAAATTTAAAACAATATCTTCTTTTCTTCCAAACACACAAAACATCCTTATTTAAATGTTAATGTTTTTAACTCTTCAGAAAAATATAAACCGTGGTCACTGAAAATTGCTGATTTGTTTTCTTGCAGAATAAAAGAGTAAATATTGGCTTGAAACTGAAGAATGTGTATATTTTAAAAATTTACTTGATCTTTACATAAATATGTTCTCTTTCAAAATCCAAATATTATAAAGGATTTTTAAAAAATATTATTATTACATTAACCAAAAAAAAAAACCAGAAAGGTAAAAATTTGTTACCAGTTTAATGATGTCTTAGTATCACATAAATTATAAGATTTTTTTCTTACTTGTAGCAAATATTAATTTTCTGAAATTTAAAAAAAAAGCCTGCAAATATTGATGGTTTTGTATGTAACAAGATAAAGGGAATTTATATGACAAAAAGATCAGAAAGAAATTATAACATTTCATTTAATATGATTTATATCTATAAACATTATATAACATTTCCTCTTGAAATCTGAATTGAAATATAAGTCAATATAAAAGACACATTTACTTTAGCAACACCAAACTATCCCCTTTTAAAAGTTCTCAATGTCTGAAAACATTTCTGCATCTACTCAAAACAAAACCAAAAAACTGAGTTTCCATATTTGCTGCAAGAGAAGGCACACCATCTGGGCCGCTGGAACTCATGGGCATTGGAGTATGGATCTGGAAATTCTATAGGCTTCTGGAAACAAAGATCACAGTCCTCACAGATCAAACAGGCTCTAGCCTGCAAAATCCTAGTGTTTTCTTATCGTTCAGTATCTAATCACTATACCTGTATCTTTTGTTGTCCACTGGCACAATATCCATGGCAATGTAATATTGCTGGTGAGGATCTAATCCAGAGATTTTCACTCTCATTGCTGGAAACATGCGCCTATTTAAAAAGGAGAAGAGAAAGAGGGTTTGGGGTTTTTGTTTGTGATTAAGGATGGAAAATGAATAAGCAAAGAAACCTCTTGAATCTCCATTTTTAATATGAACAAATATATAGTATTCACTTTACCAATGTAATTCAAAGAGTCAGAACACAGAAAATTCAAAACTGAAAATTTTAAATGTAATTTGTTATGCCCTGTGTACATGTGTTCTGTGTTTACTGAAATGTCAGCATAGCTAAAAGTAAAACAATTTAACACTGAGGGAGTAATGGCACAAAAGAAAGCACCTTATTCTTTAAACAAAATCGATAAGCATATTTACTTTAGTAATATGAATAATAAGATGTAACAAATGGTAGAAATACAAAATTTGGATCTCTGAAAGTGATAAAACACATTATAATGTGAAATTTTTAAAGGGTTATAAAAAACCACAAGGAGCCAATGTGCCATGCTATAACCAAACAATATGTTCTTTATTGAGACAGGACTTCCTGTCTGCAGCATGGTAAAGGTGAAGTGCAAAAGTTGCTCTAAATTTGAAAGGTATAGTAAAACTTCTTTATTGAAAGCAGAAACTAAACACAATGTATATTTACCAAATCATTTCTTCCCCCGCCATACTATGAAAATGTTTTCTTACTTAACCTCACTTACTCAAAACTTTGCTAATTAAAACAGATGAAAATTTGTATTCATCCTGGCTTCCCAAAGATGTGTATCAAAGGAGATGCTGGCAGATGTACCCATCCTTTTAAAAAGGCACAGCAGCAAAGAATACAACAGTAAATTATTGTATATAAAAAACAAATATAGCAGTTTGAATTTTAAAAAATCATCTAATGACTTACATCTAAGTCCCTTCCAGGAAATCTAATTTTTGTTAATTTAACCTTATAACAGAAATTTTAGTACTGCTATTTACCAAATTTTTTTCTCTAACAATAATGCCATGAAAGACTACTTCCAGAAAAAAGTAAAGGCTAATACTCCTAACTAGGTATGAGAACAGTTTATTATGCTGGCTGTTTTAGTGTTATTTCAGTGCACCTGTAAGATAAAGAGTAAAGGTCATTACATCCTTTATAAGACAACTCTTGCTTTGTGTTGGTGAAGACTGAATTTGGATCATTAATAAAAGCTCTGTGAAAATGTAGAAGGTAGCATATGGATTCAATAAAATATGCTTTTTTGTAATTTCTAATAAGTTTGGATACTTTTTATGCTATCCAGGTTTTTGCCATGTGCACTCCCTGAAAGAATTGTGTGTGCTTTCTAAAAGTTACTGTTAAGAAAGCATATTCTTAGATTTCACTGCACTAAATGAACTGAAAACTTAAAAATGCAAATATTCCTGTGCCTACCTCAAATTAATATGATCTGCAGAACAAATCCATTTATTTTACTAACCAATGGGGGTGCAAATTTCACAGTTTTAAAAACCGATGAAACTTCTTATAAAAAAATTTCAAGTATTCCTCAGCAAATTCAGGCTAATGTGTTCGATTCCACTATGAACAAAAAAATAACCAGGTACTCTAAATCTATAAACAGGATGGTTTTTAAAAATCATGGTAATTATTCTTGCACCTATAAATGATTAAACGTGTATTGTGGGTGAGTCCAGTGACTTTTCCTCCTAGTCTAATATGAAAGGAGGACAGATCATGTTCTCATATTGCCAGGAAATCTTCTGATAAAAAAATCAACCTGCTTAGGAATATCAAATCTGAAAAAACAAATCACAGTTTACTGTAGTAAACTGTTGTTTAAAATATAAAAGAGAAAAGGAAAAAAAAAGAATTTGTTTCCTAGTTCCAGAACTGACAACTAGCCTAAATAAATCCCTGGACAAGAGTAAACATGACCTCAAATTTATAATCACCCTGCACTAAGAACATCAACTGCGACAGCTGTGGCATTAGGGGCGACAGTAATTTTCTCCCTGGCATTCAACCAGAGGGCAGCTGGGTTGTGCCCCGACCTCACTCGTGGTGGTGAGCGGCCAAAGTCAGCCTCCAAAGTGAAACACAGTCTGGGGCCTTCTCCCATGTGCCCGAAAATGCTAAACAGAACTCAGGCTGCACTGCAGGCCCTTCTACCTAACTGAGTGAGAGGTGGGTGAACACAGGGCCTGGGGTGGGGAGGGGCGTCCACGCCAGCTTGCCCTTTACCTGCCGGCCTTGGTGATGATCATCTCAGTGCCTATCTCATGAAAGCGTTTCCAGAGCTCGGCTCCCTGCAGATCCACCCGCGGGGTCTGCGGCGAGGTCAGAGGGGTCCCGGGCCGGGCGAGGGCGGGTGCCGGGGACCCCTTCGGGGAGCCTCTTGGTGACTCCAGCGGGGAAGCTCCCTGCTGGAAGCCGTCCTCACAGCCGCCTGCACAGCAAAAGACAGAGAGAGGGAACCTGTTAGGGAAGCAGAGGGAAAGCCATCGGAGACAGATCCCCCGGGTAGTTGAGAAAAGGAAAAGGACCTGGAGAAAAGGGGAAGCTTTGGTGCCATAAAGTTCTCCTAAAGAACAGGCCAAATCGATAGACACCCACTCTCTGCCTGTAGAAGGGGCGCATTCGGAGCTGCAGTGTCGCCTATTTGGTCCTCAAGTCCCGAGCCCGGGAAAGGCGCGCAGACCGCGTCCACCCCACCAGCTGGGCCTCCGCAGGGCCAAGGCCCCAGAAGAAAAGGTTTCACGCCACCGCCAGGGTCTGGGACGCGTGGCCGACGGGGTCTGAGAGGAGCTCCCGAGTCCAGAGTCCCCAGTGCACCGGGACTCGGGAGCCCCGAAGCCTCGAAGCCTCGAAGCCCACGTAGCAAAAGCGCCAGGACTCTGGTACCAATATCCTGGGCCTCCTAAAGCCAGAGGCGTCTACGGCGCCTTATTTTGGGCCAGGCCGGAGGCATCTTCTAGAAGGCTCATCAGACCCCGCTTCCGCCAAACTCCCGGCCGCCAAGCGCTTCCAGCCCAGCAAAGAGTGTGAAAAGCAAGCCAGCGGTCGCCGTCGGCCGTGGCAGAGAAATAGAGGAGAAGGGAAGGGAACCGCTCAACTACCCTCCGGAAAACCACGTTTGCAAATACGCCGCCCTCTTCCTGGTTTGCACAAACGGTTTAGGGCATTCGTTCCGGTTTCGGGGTGGGGTATGCCGTCGCTCCTCTCCTCCCCGCCTTATGCTTTTAAAAGTTAGGAAAGAAAAAAGAGCACCCATTGGCTGGAACCCCAAGGGAGGCAGATGCTGAAGCACAGAGCTGTACCACCAGGCGCCGCAAACAGCCGTGGCCGAAGGCACGGATCGCCGAGTGGGCGGCGGCTGCCCGCGAGGCAAGGCTGGAAGCGGCATCTTAACCGTCTGGAGGGTGATCAGCTTGCGCGGCGAGCTTTCCTCCTTACACGGTCAACGCGCTCGTGGCTGAGCGGCCTTGGCCACGTAGGGACTCGGCGCGCAGGCACAGCCGCAGACTCGCAGAAGTTCAGGTTCGCGCCGGGGAGCAGTTAGGCAGGAAAGGGCCAACTCACCCGCGGCTCCGCGCTCCAGGTCTGCGCCACTCCGGGCGGGCCCGGACGCCGCCCCAGTCGGTGGAGGGGGCGCAGCGCCTTCGTCTCCCTTAGAAGAGCCCTTTTCGCCCGCGCCACCGCCGCGGCTGCAATCTCCGTCTTCCACGGACCCCGCCGCCTCTTCGGCGCCCAGTTTTCGCCGTTTCTTCTGAAGCTGTTGCTGCTTCTCGGCGCCTATCAGCGCCTCCACGGAGAAGGCGTGCGCCTTCAGGCTTAGCATGCTGCACGGCGAGCCCCTTCGCTTCTCGGCCATCCCCCCCGCCCCGCGCCCGCCCGCCCCTCTCTCATATACACTCACTCGGGCACACGCGCGCTCTCGCTCTTCCTCTACCAAAAACTAAAAGACTTTCGGGGCCTCCCGAGATATGCCCCCTTCCCCACTGCGGGCAAAAACAAATTTGGCGTTTCCTCTTTTTCGCTTGTGTTGGGATCCGAGGAACCGGCGACGAGCCAGCCAAGTCTCCTTCCCTGGGTCTCCCGAACGGTCTCTCACTGATGCACTCCTTTGCTCCCACCCCTTCCACCTCCAGCTGCTCCGAGGTCTGCCTCAACTGATGCGCCAGAGAGGACTAACAGGGGTAAAAAACACTCTGTGGACACAAATTAGGGATTGTAATTGAAATTTGTTGCCTTGATCTGTCAGCACTTCCAGGCAGGAGAGCGGTGGGAAGAACTTGCTCATTAGTGTCAATAAAGCGGCGGGGGTGGAGCCTGGGAGTCTGTCCATCACCCGGACGGCCGGCCAATCGGGAGGGGCCGACTCCGCGCAGCCCGCGCCCACTTCCTTACAAGGTCGCGAAAAACCAGGAGTGAAAAGCGCCGCCGTCTGGTTTGGATGTGTTAGCCCCACGCGCGCTGAACTCGATCTTTCTAACGTCCGTAGCTCAGTCCTGCCCTGTGGTCCCCAGCTTTCCTCATCAGGACCTGGAAAGGCAGAAGCTCCTGGCTTTAAACTAGACGTTCAGCAAGTTAGAATATTAAGAATCTTTCAAGGTTCGATAAATTGCCGTCCCACTTCCGTATCACTTAATGTTGCTACAACTCAGAATATTGGAAAGGTGAGAAGAATTCGCAGGCCCCTCATTTTTCCTTTAAACGTTCCTGCGTTTGTTAGCAACCACTCTGCGCCAGATATGGCTTACGCTTATTTTTTACTCCGTGAGTTTTTTTCTTGAGGGATACCAGGTTAAGGAGCATGTAAATTCTTTAGGAGTGCGAAATGTTACGTTAACGCTCAGTCCCTCGTATAAATGCCAGAAAAAAAAGCACGCCCTTTCCGGAGCCCCCCTCTTTTCTTTCAGAGTGGTAGTTATTTGAAAACGTAGGTCATGGAATTTTCATTCTGTATGTCTTTAACGATAAGGACAACTTTAAAACCCCTTAAAACTTTGCAAAATGAAATAAGTATAAAGATGCAATAAAATTCCTCATTTGAAAAACTCTGTGATTTAACATAGCTTTATATTTGTCCTGCTTTTGACAATTTGCCATCGTTATTTTAGGCTTTTAAAGAGTCCACTTATTTCTTAAAAACAAATTTAATAACATCAGCGCTTTTTAATTAAATGACAACAAACATATATATGTACAATTTGTTTTGTAGTTTCAACTCTACTTTTTGTTAGGATTAACCAAAAAAAATGTTTGGTATAAATAAAGCAAATCTCTAGTGGAATGAAATTAATCAGTCATGCATATTACTCAGTCTTTAGTATAAAATACACTACAGGCCGGGAGAGGTGGCTCACGCCTGTAATCTCAACATTTTGGGAGGCCGAGGCGAATGGATCACGAGGTCAAGAGATTGAGACCATCCTGGGCAACAAGGTGAAACCCCGTCTCTACCTAAAAATAATGATAATAATACAAAAATTATCTAGGCGTGGTGGCGCGCCAGTAGTCCCAGCTACTCGGTAGGCTGAAGCCGGAGAATCGCTCGAACCCGGGAGGAGGAGATTGCCGTGAGCCGAGATCGCGCCACTGCACTCCAGCCTGGCGACAGAGAGAGACTCTATCTCAAAAAATAAAATAAAAATAAAATACACGACAAAGGATTTTCCCCCTCTCCCTCGTTTAAGTCAATCTCCGCAACCTTTGGTTGCCCCTTTATCTCTGATTTCTCTGTAAGCATTCAGTAGAGTAACATTTGGAAGTAGATTCGCCGCTGAGATTGTTCCTTTTACTGTAGAAGGGCACGCGCGTTCCCTGGAGGCCGGACACCACATCAGGAGCAGGAACCTGGCAGGCGGTGAGCAGAGGCACGAGCAGGCCGCCCAGCCAAACCTGACAGCCTTGAGGTCAAAAATGATTTTGTAATATTCTTGCGGAGGAAGCCTCTTCTAGACGCCTGAGAAACTCAACTGGGAGGTGTTCTACATTTACAAAATGAAGGCTTTGGGACCGGTTTAGAGCTGTCTGATCCCTGATGGTCTCCAAGCTCCAGGGTACCCTAGGCCGGTATGATACCCATTAAAGGAAGTGCAAATCCGGTTTCTGACGCTTAGCCAAAGGCGGGCGCCCATTGGGAGAGCTGAGAGACCGTCTGGAGGGCTTGGGCCGGGACGGGGAGTGAGACAGGACGGGAACCAACGTAGCAGGAGTAGACGCCCGAAGATCCGTTCAGCTAAGGTGCCTGAAGCTGGCACCAGTCACCTGCGAGGACAGAGCGCCACGCCCCATGCCCAGGCTCTCGGGTACCCCAAGAAGGCAGCGACCCACTGCTTCTCTGAGCCATCCTTACAGCTTTGGAGACTCATAAACGCTGTGGCCCAGGGGTGGAGTCGTCCTGGGAGCCTTCGGGCCTGCAGGGGCTCAGCGGCCCGGGTAGGGGGAGCAGGAGAAACCGCCAGGAACCAAACAATGTTTGCTGACGCAAAGCCTATTCCGTAAAGGAGTTCTCCCTGTATATATCCTGCTGCGCAAGCTGATTTAGAAAGGGGTACACAGGCCTGCAAGGATCTCTCAGGATCATACAGCCCCACGCCCTCCTCTTTTCCTCTGTCATTTCTTTATCTCTTTCGCCTTCAACCTTGGCAGCAGACTCCAGAAGGCACGAACACCCGAGGACTGGTGTCTGCTTAGGCGAAAGGCTAGAAAGCAGGGCCTCATCGACATTCGCGATGTCAGCTAGTACTTTGGCCTTACAAACAATTCAAGTGTGAGTAGGGCGCCGGGACAGGACAAGGCGTTTGCCCTCTAGTCCTGGTACCGGCTACGGAGAACTACAGCGGTAGAGCCGCACCACTGCTCCCCGCCTCCGACTTGCTTTAAGTTCGGTTCAGGCTACTGGATTGAGTAGGACCAGCTAACCCTGGTCTCGAGGGGCAATGTGTCACAGACTGCAGCCCACTTCGACTTTGACTCCTGGAGAAGGGGCGTCGAACCTCTCCTGGGCAATGGAAGGATATTCCTAGTTGGTTAATGGGCCAAGTGGCATCCTTGAGTGATGAGGAAGGCAAAGCGTCGCCCTAGCAAGGCCTTTTACCAACAGCACGGCATGCCCTTGCCAGGATAGCTCCAGGCCTTTGAGCTTTACAAGTCAAGAGAGCAAAGAAAGTGGGGACAGGGCGCATAATCCCGGGAAAACTCGTCAATGTGCGGTTGCACGTGTGCACGTGTCTGTGTGTGCATGTGTTCGTGAGCATGTGCACCTGCTCAAGTGTAAATGGGTCTGTTAGCAGTTGGGGTCTATATACCTAAGAGTGTGTCTTCTGATCCTTTAGGAGATAAAATGTCTTTCGCAGTGAGCTACATTGAGGAAACAAAACTAAAACTGTCAGGCCTCTCTCCAGATCGGAAGGATTCTATGTTAAATAGAATTCAGCCAGAGGAGAATATTATCAGAATGAATCAGTCTCAGGAACTTGAAAAGAGAGGGAAGGGCAAAAGATCCTTGAGCTCCCAGATCTAGGACAATGGTGTACAGTGGAATCTATGTCCTGCCAGACAGTAACGCTAACTGGTGGGAGGGGGCCTGCAGGGGCGGGAGATGGAATTTTAAAAAGCACATCCGGTCTCTTCTTTATTTTTCTTGATACAGTTTAAAATTGGACAGTTCCGAATGGTCTTAAAAACAAAAACAAACAACCCTCATTCTCTGTCGGCTTCCACTGTGCTTTTTTAGCCTGGAGCACTTGTGTATACTTTGCTATTTCATTTTACCTGATGTATAAAATACTTACATTTTATTCATGAACAATTATTTCTTTTTAAGTTGTAAATGTTAAAGCTGTATGCGTCCGGTCTTCATTCTCTGGAAAGACACATTATTTTTTTCTTTTTTCTTTTAGACTCGCCGTATTTAACCCCTATATTTGATTCTCAGGCTCGAAAAGTTAAGCCCCAAGTCTTTTCAGACAAGAGTCCGTTCTTGGCCCCTGCACTAGGGGCATATTATAGGCCCTGAGTCGCCAAATAATCTGGACCCAGACTTCCTTGCCACGGCATAAAAAGAAGTTTATTATTAGTAAAAGATTAAGTGAGCTAGAAGCAGAAATGGGAGGGATAGTAGGGGTGGACAAGGGCTAAATCTAAACACCAAGAGGGGTACTTATTTGGCTGTGTTCCTCTATAGTTTAATCTGGGAAGGAGCCATAGCCTAATTGGGAACCCTGAACATCAGCCTCCGCTGGGGGAGTCACCAAGCCGCGCCGCACACGTCAGGGCTAGGGCTTCCCCTCTCCATCCCTGCCACTACTCTTTCCCACTCTTTCTTCTTGCTTCTCCTCGCCTCTCCCTCTGATCTGGTTAATGAAAATATTTTAACCTGTACACGTTTACAAAGGATACAGTAGTAAATTCAGGCGTCCCAGGGCTCAACAACTGCACTCTTGTGGATTTCTCTGGCGGGTCTGGAGCTGCAGCTGGAAACTCCGTCCCCGTGAAGAAAGCGATCCAGAGCCGCAGTTCCCCCGCGCCTCGCCCCCGCTCCCAACCCCCGCCCCCAGACTGCTGTCGCTGACTCGCACACACAGACCTGACCTCCCCACTTGTTGGCGACTGTTTTCCATCCTTCCCTCGGAACAATTCGTCCTTCTCAATTCCGATTAGCTAAGGCTGAGGTCCTCTACAAAGGATCTGTGCAGTCCACGAAACAATTCTGCGGTTCTCAGGTCGAAGAATCAGAATCAGGTCTGAACCCTCGGAGTTTCTCTTTAAGCGTTGATTTTTTTTTTTTCAATCAATGATCATTTCTCATTGGGGCTCAAAGGAGGTGCACAGTTTCTGGAGTGTCAAATGAGAGTATACTCCCTGGGTAAGCTTGCCTTCTTTCCTCTCTTCCCCCACCCCCAGTTTTCCAGCTTGAAGAAAAGAAAAGGGAGAAGGGCGCTTCTGGTCCACCAAGTCGAGGGACATTGAGGCAGTAATGAATCTCTGATGGCCCGCAGAAGAAAATTCACCCTCTGGGAGAATGAGCTTCCTGATGCATTCATGGTGTATCTCCAGTAGTATCTGCTCTACCTCCATACAATACTGCAATTATTTTTTTCACCCCGTGGGTGAAAAACCACTGTCCTATCTCCCTCATTTATTGACTCACACTTCTCCCACAACACTACAGTGTTGAGGGATCAGTAATAGAAATGTTCAAGAAGGCCACACTTGTCTCTGTCACTAATATGTGATATACAAGATGGCTTGAAGGAGGTACTGAAATTAAGACCCAGATGTAAATGAATACCCGAAGATGACTAACTGGACATTGTTGATGCCAACATTGCAACAGATCAGTTTGGACATAAAGCACACTACTGAATGGGAAACTAATATTCTCTAATTAGTTATAATAAGCATTTTAATAGTCTATGCTATATACAATCATATTCAAATTGATATTTAAAATACACAGCTTCCTATTCTTTGAATTAAATATTTAATGTTTTTTTTTTCTTATAGACAAAAGTTACCTTGAGTCTGCTGGTTTTACAAAATGAAATGAAAATGGAACTAAATGTTCCTGTTTAGGCCCTATTTAAGGGTCACTAGATTTAGTGTTTAGCTTTTAATAAAAATTATTACACCCTCTAATTGGCTGTAAATTAAGTGTTGTTCTCATATTTTACATCTGTAGATAATGACAGTCTTAAACAGTGGAAATTTTGTGCACATTCATATAATCTGCTGAAAGTATAAGCAATGAAAAACGTTGCTGGAATTTATTCATATTTTTGTATTGATTGATGAGGCATTTCAGTTTCAGCTGAATGAAAGGACTTTTAACATATTAATTTAAAGCCAGCACTGGAATTGTGCATAAAGAAATAAGCTATTGAAAAATAGTATTAGCACTGGGAATGAACCCTGCATTTAAACACATAAGCAAAAGTTTGACAAGAAGTTATGACTTTTCAGCATGACTTTTGGTTTGCTTTTGTCTGCACTTTTAGTTATGTAAAGTCTTCTGTCCTTTAAAAAGTGTATCATAAACAATTAAGAAAAAAATGAAAATATATGAAAGACCTTAGGGTTTTTTTTCCACTTCAATGTAGAATTCTTAAAATTTATTTCAAATACAATTATCATGATGGAATATATTTCCAAGATGAATTTTCAGAAATAGTCAAATGAGAATCTTCAAGTAAAAGGCTAAAGAATAGTAGTAATAAAACTCTACCAAAACACTTACATATTTTGGAATTTCCAACTTCAGTCAAAGGAAGACAAGGGAATGAAAAAAACAAAAAAACTATCTCAGGCCATGCATAACAGGTGATGCAAATTTAGAATAACTAGCATTTCTAGAAAGTCTTGTGCTTTTTAATGTTCACCTCTAGTTTTCAGTGTGGATTCCTTCTCAAATTACATAAAATGTACTTTAAGAAGCACTCACTACCTGCTACAGATGTCCAGGAAAACTGAATTATGGAAGTCGGAAACATATGGCAGTTGCCTATTGCACAAGGAAGGTACATATGAAAGTTATAAATTTCTTTCTTTAAGTCGGCATTGTAAACGCATTTTATAGGGTTCACAGTATGTATTACATCTGTAGATTTAATTTTTGAAATATATGTTTTGGAGATATTTGTGGTTTGAGATTCTAAGATAAAGAACTCATCTTGTTGTATTTAAAAAAAAAATCAAGAAAAAAACCCTAACAAATAAAAATAAATGTGTGGAGAGGCAAACATTTTTCTTATATTTCCTAGCTGGTTATACAGAAAAGGACATCATGCCATCTATTGGCAAAGAATTACTCACAACACAGGAGGTATGCGTCAGCAGGACATGCTATATTGATTGAGTACCCTAGCCAAAGAAGCAGAGATATCAATTGAGCAAAGCCAGCTTGGGGCTGATATAAAAACCATTAGATTAAGAATTGGACCATGCAAATGTCAAAAACACACCAATTAAACTTGCTTTTGAGAAAAAATTCCAAGTACTTGCTGATTTTTTCCATCAAAATATACCATTTAATTATTTCATTTAACACATTTGAAACCACATTTTGATTGTAATAATAAAGTAATATTACATATTCAGTATTATCAATGGATATCAAGTACTATCAACTACCAAGATATCTTCCCTTCACCTTCAGTGATTTTAAAATAATCACTCCAATTTTCTACCTGAACTGCCCTGTGTTATCTTTAAATTTACGTTTAATTTTGCAGATTTTAAGAATCAGAGCTCTCTTGTTTTAATTTATTTGGAGAAATGTTTGAATTAAGTTATCTGAATGGTCTAGGTAAAAAATGGGTTCAACCAAATATATACCTGCTTAAATATCTTGAAAGTAGACAGGTGCCTACAGGTAAGTTCGCTGTGAGTTCACTTCAAGAAAACCATCTTTAGAATTTCCGTGGAGGCAAACGGAAACACGTAAGATTGGTCTACGCTTTGTTGTAGAAGAATGAAAAGGATTTGCGGGAAAAATAATGCAAAATTACAGCAGATGCTCCCTACCGATGCAGAAGTTTTATTTGATTGTGTTTTGAATTTCCCCTTTGCCATCAATTGTTAAGTGGTCGACTGTATTGGTTTTCTCTTCTTTCTCAGTTCCTGCCTTGCCCAGGGCTCCTGGCTCCTGTGAGTCAGTGAGGAACAGAGCATTTAATACTATGGGCTTCCAGAAAGATGAGGGAGACGAATGAGGTGTAGAAAAACCTATCAGTTCCTTTTCCATTTGTCTACGGAAAGGTGGAAAAAAGGAGAGCGCTGCAGAAATTTCGAATTTCCTTATTTTCTAAGTTTCCATTGCTTCTTGAGCTCCCATTCAGTCCTGTCCCCGCTTCCTCTTGTTTCCATTTATAATTAGAACTTTGTAAGGGGACCCCAACCTGACTCCATCCAAGAATAAGCTTAGTTTGGGATTATTAATATTTTTTATGTAGCATTTATTACTTGATATTATTTAATAACAAAACTCGCAATAAAGTAAAAAAGAAAGAAGTAGGTCCAGTTTCCGGGGACATCCTAAAATCACTGGGGCAGTTCCCACTGGTAAAATACTAAGGATTCATATTTCTGACGAAGTTCCACATCTGAAATTAAAATCCAGTCTGGATTTCTGAAGTTCATATTGCTTTGGGCAATATCTGCATTTTCTTTCATTTAGTTTTCGTTCTTTCTGGTTTTGGTGTCTTTTTTTTTTTTTTAACATTGCCGAAGACAATCTGATTTACAGTTTGACTGAGAGTTGCATTTCTGTTTAGAAGGTGAAATGTCCAAATCGGTTAGCCAAATTATTCCACGACGGCTCCAATATTGCGCCAAAGTCCCAGAGTCAGTTATTTTTATGTCTGACTGTATTTCATATGTGCTGGGTGATAAATAAAATCCGTCTCAAGCTGCAAACTATCTGAGTGTGATGAGGAACAATCGACAAAAATTAACCCAGCCAAAGCGTTGGGGTTTAAGCGGGCGACCTGACTGTAAATCAGCGTCACGTTGGAGTCGGAAAGCTGAGCGCTCAGTAGTCTCTGGGTTCGCCCAGCCTGAGCGAGCGGGGCTTCGTTGCTGGGGCCCGGGCAGGAATTGGACTTGGCCAGGGGTTCGGAGTCATCTGGGGAAAAGGCATGTTGGGAAAGAAAAGCAAGATCGCGCCGGAGAAACCTAATTAATTCATCATCGAGAATTCTCCAGTGGGGCGTGTGTATATGTAAAATCAAAAAAGACTTGGGAGGCAAACATGGGTGGGGAGGGTTAAGGAAGGCGCAACAATTCGTCATTTATCTGGATCCCAGAGGAGTCCACTGATTGCTCAAGTCACTAGAAAAGGAGATTCGTCTCAGCGATTAACAATGATGCCCTTTTAAGAGAGATCAAAGAAGGCGCCTAGGGAAGCTCTCCATCACCGCAGGGTAGCTTCTTGGAGTTCCGAGGCCGCCTGCACGTTCACTTCCCAGTGTACAGCCCCTACCCCCAAATCCGGGCTCCAGCCCAGCCTGAGCCTCCTTCCCTTGAAAGACCCAACCGGCCGAGCCCCCGAATCCCCGAGGCGTGGGTGTCAGGCTAAGCGGGGCTCATCCGACTGGTCGCCTCCAGCTCTCGCCACCTGTTGGAAGGCCCAGGCCCAAGAATCGCGCCTGAGGCGGCGGCGCGTCACTCTGCGGCCACAGAGAGTCAGGGGCCTCGGAACGCTGGTTTCTGCTGATAAGTGCAAAGCCCTCTCGGTGCTAAGTGCACAGTAAGTGAGAAGAATAAATACATCATCTCCCGGGGCGGCTGTCTTGAAAAGGCCTCTCAGCCCCCCTGCGTTTCAGAGCCCGTCAAGGTTACAGACTAGTGCTGGCGCTCCGCGCCTGCGGCTCCCAGCACCAGCCGAGAAGGGCGCGCAGCCCGGGCCACCACATGCCACTAGCCCCGCAAGGCTTTCAGCTCCTCTAAGGGGAGCTCGAAATGCTCACCAAAAGCCTCAGAAACCTTGGAACTCATAAGACCGCACTACAGCGCAAACGGCGTCCCGGCTGCGCTCCCACACTGCACCCGCAGCCTGGGAGGCGAGGCTAACCCGGAGACTGCTCGCGGGGATTCTCCTCAAGCAGTCGATGTCGAGTACCCGGGCAGCTGCGGCAGGAATGGTGCAGGGGAGAGGGAGTTGTCACTGTCTTCTAGATATGTGAATTATAAATTGCTTTTAAAAAAATAGGTTCAGAGCCAAGTGAGTGAAAACTTAGAAGTCCCCGCGAGGAGCTCCAGTTCCCGGGCGGCGCGGTCCCAGCTTTCCTGCCGGTAGCGCTCTGGCACCGAGCGCCCGCCGTTTTGGCTGTGGAGGTCCAGTGGCTGTGTCCCAGGGCGCCTGGGCCTCCTTGCGGCTCCGAGGCTCCGCGTTTCCCGCACCCCGACTCTTTCTGGACTCGGCTGTCTCCGGGCCTTCCCTGACTTCTCCAGCCGCACCGCCCACCGCCTTCCCCAGCAGTTGTAAACCCTAATGCGTCCAGGCTTCGGGCCTCGGCCTCGCTCTGGCCGGCCGCCCGCCTGGCTCCAGAGGATTCGGGGGCGGGGCAGGCCGGCAGAGCTCAGCTCGCGACGCGGTTCCCCATGTTTTTATTTCGTGACCCTGACCGCGTCCCGACCGTAACCTCCTCTGCGTTACAGGGGAATAATAATCCTTGCCCCGCTGGCCTGCCGGGTGGTGGCGGGATACTACATCCTGGTTGGGGAAGGATCGGGCTTGGCAGAGACAAAACTATCCCGCTGTGTGGCTATTCACAACCCACCCAGATTTAGGGGTTGGGTGGGGGGTATTCAGGCCTCGGCCGACGCCCCATCTCCCCACCCCGCATAAAGGCGTTCGTGGGCAGTTAGGTTCTGCCGGACGCCGGGGACGGTGCGCGGGTGAGTGCCTCCGGGCACCGAGCGCGGGGCACGTGGCGCCCTCTGGGGACTGTCCGCGGCACTGCCGGGCGTCCAGCCTGGGAAGGCGCAGCTTCGCCGGGCACCTATCGCACCCTCAGGCTCCGCGCGGCGCTCGGTACCTGGCTCAGCGCTGACCCCTCCACCTGGCTGAAGGCGGCAGCCCTGGGAGACTCCGGCACTCAGCCGGAGCAGGAGCGGCGCACCGTGGGAACCCATACTGAAAGGGAAGCCTTGTCGGTTGCTCACTGCTGCAGACTCGAGGAAGGCCATCTCCAATCGCCCAGAAGCCACCTAAAGAAGGTACTGGCCTCCATGTGCCGAACCTCTAAGTCTCCCAACTGTTCACAAAAATACGAAGCCATCTGGAAAAGGGAGCATCCACATGGATGGAGGGAAACAATTAAAAATAAAGGTAATTAGGAGGAAGGACCTGAAAGGAATGTTAACGTACATGTTCTTTGCGCTTGAGTGTGAGGTAACCCCAGATCTTATTTTATGATGAAGAGGTCTGTCTAAACCCCAGAATTTTAATGGAACAATCGAACCAACTGACAAACAAAAATGCCATGTATCCCCAAGCCCTGGCCAGCTAAGGGATATTTCCCAGTCAAGTTCCCACGACCTGTTACCGTTATCATCGCCGCATACAGTGGGTGATGAATGAACAACTCCATTGCATTTCCACTTAAAATCCCAGGGCACACCACCTATAACTTTCTTCGACTTCTCTCATTAGTGTAGTTATTTTCCCCCTCTTTTTTTTTCTTTAGAAAGGTACATTTCACAAGTTTATAAATAGATCAACTGTTTCAAACGGCCCACATCGTGAATGACAGCTGACCTAAATAAATAAATAAACAAATGCAAAGTAATGGTGTATAGGGTGGTGATCAACTGAGAACTTACGGACTCTCAGTTACATAGTTATTTCTAAGACCTCATTTTTTAACAAAATGAAAGATTTTGAGGCAGTTACAGTTACACTAGTACATGTTGTGGAAATAAGCTTGCATTTAGAGAAAAATTATTAGAAACAGCTGCAATGTTAATGATTGAAAACCCAAAGTACTCAGTATGCTCAGTATCTACTTTTCATCATATTTTTTGTGTGCATCCACATAATGCATACTCTCTGTGTGTAATACAAGACACTTGTTTAATAAAGCAAATGATTGTCTGTGTCAGGGAGATTTGGTCCTCTCTCCCTCTTCCATGTGCAGAACAGATCAAAGACCCGAATTACCTCTGTCTTTCTAAAGGCAGCCAGATGGTGTCTTGATTTTTCTTCAGAATTTTTTTTAACAATATAATTCAAAGGTTAAAGAATCTGTGTGATGCTACAGATGAAAGCCCTACCCAGGTAAATTACTTTTCTTTTTAATCTCATGCATACCTTACCTTATTCCACAAAGGTTTTGATAAGTCCCTGGAGAATACATATAATAAATATGTAAATGGTGAGTAAAAGATTAAAACCAGGTAAGACTGAAATCACAATCCAGAGTCAAGATTAGAAGAAAACAAGAACTCTGATATGTGTGGAAATACTAGGCAGTTGTTAAAGAGGAACTTTAAATTTGTCTCAGAGCTTCCTAGCAGCAAAAGTAAAAAGCAAAACATGACCTTATCAAAAGAAAAGAAGAAATCATATCAGTTACTTACAGAGAGCAATATATTCCCTAAGGTGATGATGATGATGATGATGATGATGACATTTGCTGCAGTAGCAATAGTATGTTTAACATGCTGCCCTATTTGCGAAACCAACTGTCCCTGCCTCATCTCAACACACACAGCTATTCTTCCTGGGCTATTTTTACTTTGTTACACTTAGATTAAAGCTGCCTCTCTACAGAGAGGCAGTTTGGTAATTAAACTTTGGAATCAGATAAATCTGGACAGAGTGCCAGCTTCCACTTAGTGCTCTGCTATAACCCTTGACAAGGCACTTAGCCTCTCTCTCTGAGACCCAGTTTTCTTTTTTTAATAAAAGGAGAAAATCTATCCTATAAGCTTAAGGAGAGACGATTCTATAGCCTGACATGTCAGAAACTTTTTGTAAGTGTTAGGCTATTATTGCTGTTTTAATTGCCGTCAATTTTACCCCAAATGTTAGTTTCCTTCCTACTTTTCCACAATATCATAGCATTCAAGGGCATTTCTTCTTTTGAGCCTTAGAGCAAAGGAGAATGCCAAAATTTGAACTCCAAGACATGTCAGTACAGTCAGATGAGCAAGATCTCTGAGCTCCCTAACCCTCCCTGCGTGTCTGTAGTGGTTAAAGAGTGGAGCCAGTTAGTGGGAGAGAAAAGTGTGTGCTGGTAAAATGGGTCTTGGATCGGCAAGTACAGGAGTGGGCTGCTCTCTGTAGCAGCCCCACTCCTAGTCACCAGTGGAGCTGGCTGGATCACCTTAATATTGGGATGAGTCGTGCCATAAATTAGTTCCAAAAAAAGATAAGTATATCTAAAAGGAGGTAAAGAATATTATTTTGGAGGGCAAGGTTTTGCAGGTCACTTCAGAAAGTCAGTACTCTTTTAAAGTATTAAGTACTAGGGATTTGGGCAGCCTAAAAACGGTCACACTCTCTTCCCCGTATCCTTCCTCGTCCTGCCACTTCCTATGCAGTGTTTTTAAACTGAGTATTTGCAAAGACCCAGCAGTGGTGCTAGGTTTTATGATGACAAGTTTTCTGTTCTGGATCCACCACCTAAGATTAATCCAGACAACTGGCCTCCAGAGAGGTCTTATGTTTTTGTTCCTCTTCTGTCTTCCCTTCTTTCACCTGCTAAGCACTAAATTATTACCCTTCTCTTCCTAAAACTTGTGGGTTGATAATGGATTAAATATCAATCTAGTATCTAAGACCCTATATAATATATCCCAAGGTCAGCTGTATCTTAGAAAAGTATGAAGTATACATGCATGTTTGATGTATTCCACTAGATTGTAAACTTCCTAAGGTCAGAAACCTCATGATGTTTATAACAGCAGACAATTTGTTTCAGCTTGATGCAGCCCCATGACTAAACTGCCAGGAAGCCACGTGACACAGCAGGGAGGGCAAGGACTTAGAGTCAGAAGAGGGTGCCCAAGACTTGTTAGCTCTATCACTGGCTCTATGAACTTGAGTAACTACTCAACATCCTGAGCTTCTACCTGAAGTATTTAGACAAGATGATCCCAATGGTAACACATAGCACCAACATTTTATTATCCTGAATCTACCTTATAGCTGAAGGCAACTTCATCTTTCTCTGAATTAACTGCGATAGCATTTTACTTCCTCTTTTAAGAGATATAGCACTCCTACCTTGTATTAAAGTGACTGCAAACTATTTATCTTCTCCATTAGACATAAGCCCCATGAGTTCAGGACAGGTGTCTATATCAGTGTTTCCAAAAGAGCTAGCTCCGTGTTTTGCACAACTGTGCTCAGTAAGTACTTTTGAGTGAATAAAATCTGACCCTTTATTAACAGCACACACTAATTTGGTATAAAAAGAGGGCAGTGGCTGGACACAGTGGCTCTCACCTGTAATCCCAGCACTTTGGGAGCCTGAGGCAGGAAGATTGCTTGAGCCCAGGAGCTGGAGATCAGCCTGGGCTATATAGTGAGACCCTGTCTCTGTTTTGTTTTTTTTTTTAAGAAATAGCTGGTTGTGGTGGCATGCATTTGTAGTTCCAGCTACTCAGAAGGCTGAGTGGGAAGATCACTTGAGCCTGGGAAGTTGAGGCTGCAGTGAACTGTGATTACACCACTGCACTTCATCCTGGGTGACAGAGCAAGGCCCTGTTTCAAAAAATAAAAATAAATAGAGGTGAAGCTAGCTCTCTCCCATTGTTTGGCAGACTGCTAGACTTTGAGGCATTGGTACCTAAGCTCCTTCTCTGACAAGTCTTACTGTCTTGTTTCCATGTCAACCAGGCTACATCCAAGTAATCCTTGTGCTTATTATATTTGTTTGAAGGGTACAGGCTGAATGGTCCAGAACAAATATTCAGCTCTTTCCCTTAGCTAATGTATAGAATGTGGCAGAAAAGAGGCAGGCTTTATGATGGTAGAAAGGAGAAAGGCACATGGGGGTGGAGAAATTTTTTCCTATTTGATGAAGATAGGTAGTGAGTACTGACTTGTGTCTTCTAGTCTCCAGTATGGACAGAGAGGCCTGCCTTCTCCTGTCATGGTTTCCCTGGCCATATTTACCAACTCTGTAAAACTGTCCCTTGGAAATGGAGATTTTAAAAAAAGGAGTGAGAAGACATGCCTCTAGATTCATCTCCTGTAATGGATTCCAGAATAGGGATATAGGCAGAACCAGTTGACTGCTTTCTAGAGTAATCCTGCTGAGAGAAGGATACAATAAATCCCTGTAAAGAGTCTTTTTTTTTTTTCCTGCTTCTACCAGTGAGGTCTTTGGGACTGCAGCCCTGTCTCCTCCATCAGGCCCTTGTGCTCACCTTAAACTGAAGTTTCTCCAAGCAGCCTTTTATGCTGTGGCCAACTCAGAGCATCAGCCTGGGCCAGCTGGCCCAGAATTCACAATTTTCTCCCTAGAAGACTGATGCTTCTGGAGCTTCCGCTGCTACTGCTGAATACCACCAAGTTGCTGAACTTTGCTGTTGCCTCTGTTACTGATGCTATCTCCATGGTCAACCCAATTTCCCATTGCTGAGCCTGGGTACAAGCTAGGATCTTGCATGTTGGAGACCCTGCTGAAATGGTCCAGTTTTCTTGCCTTTTCCTCCTGCTCTGGGTTCTCCTGCTTCTCTCCCTTCCCATCCCCATCCCCAAACAGTAGTGAAAGTCCTTGCCAGTGAGTTAACACACTCTGGCTATTCTTGCTGAAGATGTTTCCTTTACTGCCAGGTTCAAGGGTGTGGTGGGGGGGGTCCTTCCTTTGTACCTCTCCTTGTAGCTGTAGGAGTCCCCATGTATCCACATATGAAGGCTGGTCTCTGTTTCCCTTCAGGCTAGTTAGGTTTCCTTGAGCTCAATAGGATGTATATTTATTCCCATCCATGAATCATCTAAATCTTTATATGGTATATTTGCAGTACATTAATCTTGAAAATCTTAGAATTATTTATTTTAGAAACTATCAACATTCTAGCAGTTATTAGTCATGAAAATTAATGCTATCTCCAAATAACTTTAAAATAACTCAATAGTTTTCTTCTCATGTAAGAGCCTTGAGTGAATCAGGTGGTTCTTCTGTCCATTCTTCTTTTAATTGGTGACTCAGGGACCCAGAAGTTAGCTCCTTTTTGGAGCTATGCTATTTGGAACTTGACTTCCATGTTTGCAGTGGAAAGGGAGGAGAGCGTATGGAGAAAGTACACCTTTTCTTAATTACCTCAGCCTGGAAGTGACACTGTTACTTCTGCTCACATTCTACTGGCAACACATCA